GGTGGTAGGTAGATCAATCATCAATTCGCCAAACTGCTATAGTAAATTCTATATATAGACCTTAAAGGAATATGCTACTTGGACATGAGAAGAACCTCGCTACTTTATAATATTTCTTACTGGGATATCTTAATTTGGACAGATCTGAATATTTCTTTAGAAAGTGTTACATTACTTATTTAAACCAGAATTTTTTAATTGCTAGATTAATGTCTGGTCTTTCAGTGTCACCATTTCAAATATTCGATTTGTTAATCTGGATATATAATATAGATTTAATATAGATTTACCCTCGGTTTGTTAAATATTGTTGCTCGATCGAATTTTTTTAAAGTAATCTAAAATTTTGGTAGTAGTATTAGTAGACATACATATATATTTTTTATAAATACACATATCGAATAAAATCACTTTTTATTTGTCAAGTCATATAAAAGACCTGCTAATTTTAGTATAATCATGCTACTCTGTTGTAAATTAATCTCAAGTGTTGTACATTAAGCCCTAGTTTTACTAATCGAAAATAAAATTGCACTAAAAGTGCATTAAAAGAGCGTATCGATTGAAAAAATTATCCCAGATTTACCAATCGAAAACGTCATAAGTAAGGATTGTCATCCATGTTAGTAAAGATAAGTAAGGATTGTCATCCATTTTATGGTCCACAACTGTATATTTCTGATTTTATGACTTCTTACTCTCTTATTATTCAGGAGTTTTATATTTTTCAGTTTAGCTGTTTATTTATGCTAACTTTTTATAGTTTAAATGGGATTTACATCCATAACAGAGGCTGCCACTGCCTATTTTTAATTTTATGATGTCGTATAATGTCTTCATGATCAAGAATCATTAGTTCCGTTTTCTTCAGTTAGGCGGTGTATTTTGTAAAGTTAACTTCGACTCTTCTATGGCATTATTTTTAAACCTTATGTCTCTTATAACGTGTCTACTTTTAAACGTCTAAGTGCACCATCATCTATAACACGGGGATACACTTTTTTTTTGTTTTTTGCAGTAGATGGAAAGCATCGAAAGCAACAGTGTGAGACTTGAACTCACTAAAACCACCTCTTAGGAATAAAGATTTCCACAGTATTGAGGAAACTTTATTCCAGTAATCAGGGGAGAGAGATGTGAACATATAGGCTTAATATTCTGTGTGCTAGGTTCATCCAAGCCAGAAAACAGAGGCAGAGAGATAGGGTGCTGGTGAAGGGGCTACTGATAGCTCTTTAGCTCTTATGCAAGGAACCCACGTTTTAATCTATACAATACCAGTTTATCATTATTGTGCAGTTAAATTCATATGACTGAGTGCAAATCAATACATTTTCATTTTCAGTTGTTGGAGTTTCCCTTAGTAAAATATTGTCTTATTGTACAAAAGGTTAGAACGTGTGAAACGCGCATTATGCACGTTTAATTAAAAATAATATTAATAATAATAAAAATTATTTTCTGTATTTAAGATGTATTTTAGATATTAAAATTGATTGCTTTCTAAACAAGCAATTAACACTGTATCTAATCAAATATTACTCGGTGTAGATTAATTTCTTCTGTAATATTTTAGCCTTTTCATATATATTTCTACTAAGACTACAATTAACTTGTTTCATTCCACTAATTATATTTTAATCATTTTATCTAATCTTAATTGAGAAGAGAGGGGTATTCATTTCGCTTGCCTGTCTCATTATAGAAATAATTGTTTTCTATATTATTAAGAGTACGTATGTAATTAAATAATTAGGCTATTCCCACCGATTATGATCGTGACAATTAGGGTTTCGTACACATTTTGTACTTATTTCCTTCTACGGAATTGCAAATAAATTGCAACAAATTTGTTAACAAGCCCAGAATTGCGTGTGCATAATTGTGATGATGACTGAAATGTTGCTGTTAAAAATGTTGTTAACAAAATTATGCGCAAATGTTTGTTGGATATCCGCATGTGGTGTAAAATTTGTAAAAAAGTCGTAAAAATAAAAATGAGAAATAATAAAAATTGTAATGAAACCATAAAAGGTCCTGAAATAATGCACATGAACCACGCATGCTATTTAGCAAAAGGTTTCCAGCGAACGAATTACAGGCAAATAATAATAAAAATAAAATAATTATATAAAAATATGTTAAAAAAAAATTAAATTTCACTTCAGAAGTAGAAATAAAATAAATATTTTTACTAATTTATATTTAATCAATTTTTTAATCAAACTTGAGTTTGGACAAAAACATTGATTTTGTTGAAATTTATTTTGCGTGGAATTTGGGGTTTGCGTGTCGACAAATTGTTGCAAAACGTTTGTTACCACCTCAACTTACTCTAGACATCATAAAAAAAAATATAAAATTTTACTGCTTAGACATTAGCAAGTGAAATTATAAGAAATCTCGCTTTGAGGCCTCTAAGACCTCGAAGGCCTCTAAGGTTATAAGTTATAAGTTATAGGGCTAGAAGCTGCATGTTGTGCTGTCATCACAAATGTCGGAATTGACGTTGGGTTGTTTGATTTAGGTTGGCTTTTTTGGTGCTAATCAAATTATAAGATACACCGTTTCACCGTTAGACTAATTGCACGCACACTAAATCCATTTAGCTTACCCATATGTGTATCTGTAAGCGCTTGTGCAACGCAATGTTGCTTACACGCAAGATTTAATTGATTGCCGCTCGTCAAGACTCAACCGAACCCAATGTAAATGAAGCCAAGTTTTTGTTGAGAACATGTGGCAGCTTTAATACCATATTTAGTGGTTATTTGGAAACTTGAAGCATTTTCATAAAACACCGACCGACTCCTTTTACGTCGCTGCATTGACGGCTGAGGTTTGTACGAAGAAGACATGGAACTCGCACTACATGGAGTCGTTGTTGCTTGTGTCAAGTCGCTTGTCGTTTATTTGTTAAACATGCGTTAAATTGCGTGTTTATCTGTTCGCTGACAAGAATGTGTTAAGCGGTTTTTTATAGTAGAATAACACTGTCGCTGTCTAAGAATGTTATGGATTCCACTAACTATTTACTCAGACTCAGACTGAAGATTTACTAATGGTGTAAGATTATTTATTATACTTAAGATTCTCAGATTACAGCATTCATTTTATTTAAAGTTACTTAATTCGTTATTAGAGCAAATTACCTACATCCTGTATGTTTACTACAAAATGTAGGTAAAATAAGTAAATAGAATAAGTTGGAATGTATGAATATATTTATATTATTTATATTATTTATTTTTAAAAATATATATAAAAAAATGTATTTATAAAAATAAAGATTCTTGATAATTATAAATTTTAAAAGTAAAAAAATTTATATAGAAATACTGGGTTGACCATATGTGGTGTCTCCACGTATTTAATAAAAGCAAAAACATGAAAAAAACATATTTTACTGTTCAGCCATCAACTAAATTATCATAAAGTCATTTAAAATCATAAATATCACTACACTTGGTTTTGGACGATTTGTTAATTCACTTTTTACACTCAGAAAAATAATTTAGTTGATTTCACCAGATTTTTACTAAATCTCAGGGCAAAATATTCCTACTCGACGTATTATGTTGATTCATCCAAACCATATTTTGGTTTTCATATCTTCTTCACCACAAGAGCTAAAATTTTTCTAACAAAATTATTGGGTCAATTTCACTAGTATGTGGTTACAGTTTATTTTTCACACGTCAGTGGGTTATAGCTTAGTGAACTATAACGATTTTACTGAATTTGATTGAAAAATTACTTTTATAATACTTGGTGATATAAAGGATCTTCAATTAACAGATACAATAACTATATTCTTCTACGACTATATAATATATAAATGGTAGTTCCATTATTGGAAAAAAAGAAATCTTGTTAATTCAAACATTTCAGTCCTAGGAAATCATAAACAGAATAAGCCAAGAGATTTTTATAGGGTCATATAGAACATATTGTATAATCAGATATAATTTATATGTCAGTTTCAGGGTTTGTCGTAACAGTTTCATTTTAAGTCGTTTGCGGTCTACCACACCGCGCTGTACTTTGCGGGTTCCATGTAAGTGTAGCTTTTAGTATTTTATCATATTTTTTACGGTTACTATCGATTTGTATAAACGCTTTATCACTTCAATTCAATGCTGTTGTTAACTTAATTTGACAACCGTCATAGTTTCTCATTAGAAATAGTATCCAATCAACAGATTGTTACAATGATACGAAGGCATCTGTTTGTAATTTCGATTTTATTTCATTTTGGGACAAACTAGGTGTCACCTTTGTGTAGATGCATCGACTTGACGCAGAAATTAAAATATTTAATTTTTGTTTTGATATAAACATTCTTAGATCACACAAGCCTATACGAGGTTCTATTAAAGTCGGTTGTAAAGATTGGTATTAAATCTATCGTCCTTAAAAAAAATGCTACCCAAATATAGAAAACTGTTAATATCTGTAACTGCTAAGATCTATAATATCCATATCTCTAGTATTAAAGGGGACAGCGTGAATACTGCAAGTTCCCTCTGATCACTGGTGTATAGAAACTCAGACAGAGTAACTGTACTTTCCTTTTAATACTCATTGCAGAAATTGTGGAAATTTACTGGAAAAAGAAATGATTAAGTTTTTTCTTTATGAAAGCTCAGCTTTGGTCTACAGAAGAATTTAGTTTTCATGAAAGTATTTTTTTGACAGCATGTCACACCGTTCATAGGTAAAAACAAAAGCTATATTTAATTAATTAAATTCAGAAAGAGAAAGGACAGAAAGGATTAAGTCTTTTTATATCTTACGACTTCCTGTGAGAAATAGCAATACGGCGAAAAAACGCTATTTTAGGTTAGCGGAAAGTTATCTGCTGACTTGCCACTGTAAGTAACGAACGAGTCCA